CCTAGGGCGTCAAATTGGCTAGAAACGGCCCTGACGTCAGTGATTGAGAGATATTGCAACGTTGAGCTGAGTGAATCAAAACATCTCGAGCAGGACATGATGCGGAGTTTCCAGATGAGGGGACACACATTGACAGGGACAAGTGCTTTGGTCGTCTAACATAAATTCTAACAATGGCATGCTAGGCATTTCTTTGTTGTTTGTTAATTTATTTATGAAAGAATGCTGTCAGATAGGCCAGTCCATTGCAGTACATTCTCATGTCCCCATTATAGTTCACCCAAAATCTGTACAACTTTCTTCTGTGGAACACATAATAATATATTTTGAAGAGGCCCACTGTATGACGTCAAAAAAAAAAAAACATTCTTTCATATTTCACATAAAAATAGAAGGTAGGTTTGGAACGACATGAGGATGCGTAATGATGACAAAACTTCCATTTTTGGGTGAATTATCTTTAAAATAATGCATAAGATATTAAACTCATATTAAACTCAAATAAAATCATGATTTTAAACCATAGTTAGTCATCTGTGGTCGCAATATTACAATTAGCCTAACACGGGTGAATTTTTTACTACTAGCCTAAATTACTTTTAACTAATAAGTTACTAATAAATGTCCTCTTTTTCCTTGATCTAGTCAAAATGTTTCATAAAAGACATGTTTTTCTGGCAATATTGGAAGATTCTTTTCCCCTGAGTCCTCACTTTGCAATAACCTAGAAAACAATAAGTAAAATGGACTCAGTTTTTCTTTTGCAAGTTTTTGCGCTCAAGGAAATTTCATACTTGGAATTAAGAAAAAAAAAACATTTGTTAAATAAGTATATAGCCTACTACTTGTCTTTTCTCACTGCAAACATTAGAACAGCTACTGTATGTTCTTTGAATGAAACAATGAACTCCATTCATATAGGCCTAACCATAAACATAAACTTGCGGAAGAACATTGTAGCCGGAACTACTTCTCTCTGTTTATGTCTATGGCGAATCACACAGGTACTGGGTTACTCCGCAGCGGTACCTACCCGAACCAGTCTAAATAGTCCGAATATAAACACTTATTATAGGTGTACCGTAGTGATTCAGGACAAGCCAAAAACACGGTTTGGAAAATGGATTCATGGTGTACTTGCTTATTATATAAATTTTGTACATTTTGAACACAAAAAAGTTACGGACTGCAGCTTTAATAACATGATCACTTGAAGGTGCTGCAAAACCTTGTCTGTTTGAAATAGCATACTCGCATACTAATCTTATTGATGCCGCAGTATATAGTATGCAAATACTCAAATACTCATTTTCAAAAATGTGGCATATGCAATAAAGACAGTATGGTCTGTTGTAGTCTTGATAATTCTGGCATATGTATAGGTAAAGGTATATGCATAAATTTGCAATTTGTACAAACTATATACTATAGCAATAGTATATGATACTATGACCATTGATGTGTTCAATTGTTGGCCACACGATGGAGGCAAAGTGCCTTTCTCAAAGTCAGGTAGTTCTGCTGCACTGCTTACATCCACCAGAAGAGTGCAGTATAGTGTGGTCGTAAACGCATTTGAGAGTCAAGTAAACTTCTTAATCATCTATAAGAGCGGCCACTTCTGTTTTACAGTAGGAATAACCCTAAGTTGTCCTCAGGCCTGCTTTCAACACTTGCCATTCGAAACACTGTCACTTCACAGCCAAACAAACTTCTCTGAGCATTTTAAAGGGGTCATATGATGCTTTTTTAAAGATCATTATTTTGTGTATTTGGTGTAACAGAATATGTTGACATGCTTTAATGTTCAAAAAACACATTATTTTTCCAATACTGTACATTATTGTAGGTCCTCTATGCCCCGCCTCTCTCAAACGCTTCGTTTTCTACAAAGTCCCTCCTTCCGACAAGCGCAGTCTGCTCTGATTGGCCAGCTGACCCAGTGCATTGTGATTGGCCGAACACCGCAAGCACTCGTCGGAAATGTAATGTTCCTTACCATAATCGCGAGCTTCATCTTTCAAAAGAAATGTCAAGACAGTAAATAATGTCATTAGTTTTACCATCAGTTGAAGCCCGAAAGGGGAATGTGGGCGCGTGTTAGAACGAGCCGTTTTAGGGGGGTGTGGCAGAGTCTTAACTTTGATAAAGAATATCTCTTTGGTTTTGAGACTTCAGTCTTTGCAACTTCAGGGATCTTATCTATTCACGAACAGCTTGTAACACTCCAAAGAGAAAGGAAAACTTGAAATCGCATCATATGACCCCTTTAAGCACGCAATGTCAACAGCTCATTGAATCAGTCTGCCTGAGAAGAGAGACAGCATTCCTCACTCAGCACATCATTGACAATCATCTTATGCTTGATTAAACAGCCAAGAGCCATTTTACACAAGTCATAACCTGACCTCCCAACACACTACCCCACTTTACACATTCACAGTACACCTTATTATCACCTGTCAGGAGTGTGAACTATGAGCCATTTTTATGAGCATCTTCATTTTTTTGAAGAAACGGAGAAGGCCATCACTCATTCAGAGCCCGAGACAACTCTCCTCTCTCTTGTTTCTCTTCTTCTGTCAGTCAGTGATAAATGGCCAGAAGAGAATTGAAAGAGCTATTTTCAATAGTTAATGGGTGTGAGTGACTTGTTCCTGTCCTCTCTCTGTAATTACACTAGAAGTGACAGAGGCTGTCAGTACTAGATTAGAGCACCGAGGCATGATGGGAATGTAGTTTTACTTGCATATTGTAAGAATTTTATTTTTATAGTTTAAGTTTTCATTTTAATTTTACTTTGTTTTAGTAATTTTGTTACATGTGTTTGCCATTTTTAGTAGTTTTAAAAAATATTTCTATTTAGCTTAATTTTTATTTCAGTTTTAGCAATTTTAGCAATTCAACTAATAACTTTAGATTTTGTCATTTTTATTTAATTTTAGCTTTAATTTATTTTTATTTCAGTTTTAGTACTTCAGCTTATTTTATTTCAGTTAGTTGCCAAGACAGAATTTCATATTTGTAAGTTTTTCATCTAATATTTTTATTTTTTTTAATCTTTATTCTATTAACAACAATGAATTTTGATAGTTTTAGTTAACAATAACAACACTGTCATGAGCTCATTTACATATTGCAGTTATTAGTGACCACATACTGTATGTAAAAAAAAAAAAAGAATCATGTGCTATATTTCAAGTCTTCTGACACTATATGATGCTTTTTGAAAGGAACAAACTTATATTGGAGTTATTCACTGAATAGAAAATTCTCAAGAAAATAGCTGTGTAAACCTTCTTCAGAGCATCTTCTTTTGTGTTTTATGGAAAAAATAACAGAATATGGGTTTGGAACAACATGAGGGCGAAAACATCATTTTTAGCTTCCTAATCCTTTAAAGCCGATCATTCTCATGATTACGACATCTTTGCGAAACAGCTTGTGAGATTCAAATGCAACAAAATGGAATTTTGGATTTATCACAATGGAATCCATTCATCTGGTCCTCCGAAGCTCCTCCTCGTGTGTTATTATGGTCAGAATGTGTTGCTGTAGGAGGACAGTGGAGAACGGTGGGCATTCTATCCTTGACACACACTTGAACCCTGAGCTTGTGATCAGAGCTGTGATTGGTGGGTTTATCTGGAGCTCTGCATGAGCGCGAATAGCTGCCCCACGAGCTCTACGTGAGCTGTTTGCGCCGTGACCCGATGACACTCGGTGTCTTGAACTTACACAGGACTGCACAACTTTTCATCTCTCATTCTTCAGCCCTGCTGTGTCCTGCTGGTCGAAAACACAACGGCTTTGTTCAAAACCAAATCTTGCTGTCCGCATAGGCGGCTTCCTCCTAAGGCAGCGTTCTAACTGAAATGGAACCTCATAAAATCAAATTTAGTATATTTATTGGCATCTATAGTTCCATGAGGAACCTTGAACATCCATGGAACCTTTCCATTCCACAAAAGGTTCTTTATAGTGAAAAGAGGTTCTTTAAATCTTCTTCACACTTGCTTGTTTACACTAGTTTAACATGGTGCTTTTACATGCTTTAACATCACTTTTACTCAAGAGTTCATTCAAAGGTAATATGTGTGATCAGTATCTTAATACGGGTAATGCACAAACATTCCGACAGGGATTAACAAACAGAAGCGGGATTGCTATCTTCATCTGGATTATCGTAGACCAGTTGATAAAACCGATATGAGATGCTCATGGAACACAGAAACAATCGTTCCCGGTTTTGTTTGGGATTGGATGTTTTCGATAGTGCATCAGACACAAATGCTCTCAGACATCTCGTCGTCTCAACGACAATGTTGAAATTCCTGCATTTACCTCTCATGACACGAAGATTACGAAGGTTAATGTGTGAAAAAGTCAAATTTGAAGAACAAAACAGTTTTTTGCACATCTAATAGCACCAAATGTAAGTGTCTGTGTATAATAATATAATATAATATAATATAATATAATATAATATAATTAATATAACATAATATAATATAATTGGGGTCAGTAGAAATTAAAACTTTCATTTAGCAAGGATGCATTGAATTGATCAAAAGTGGCAATAAAGACATTTATGGTGTTACAAAAGATTTCTATTTCAATTAAATTCTGTATTCATCAAAGAATCCTGTAATTTTTCATCCTCATGCAAAAATTCCAGATCACACAGATTTGTATTGAAATGACTGTATTTCGCCTGTGAAAATTTCTTTGT